CAGGCTTTCCAGCACAAATGCATGCATGCTGGGAAATGAACAGGCAGACTGGCTGGCTGGCATGAAAGCATTGGGTGATGAACCGATGCATGACAAACTAGATGTGGAAGCAAGTGAACAAGACAGAAGGATGAACAGATCATTATGGTCCCGAGAGAATGGTGCAGCGTGGACTAACAAGGGAAGCTGGCTGACACTGTACATTTACGGGAAAGGCAGGCATATGATCAAAATGATACTGGTAACGCTAGCATCAGAGAACAGTTCATTAGCTGCTGAAGACAGGGATGCAGCGCTTATGGGAATGTCCAGAGTGCTATAATGTCGGTTCTAAACTCAGCCAGCCGAGCTTTATCAAGTTATTATCAAGGATATTTCTAGGTATGAAAGTCAAGAGAAAAAAGCAACTGGTTACCTCATCTTGTTACAATGTGCTCTAGCATAACATACTGCAGTATCTGCTGAGATAACTTTCTTCACCTTCTTAAAGTACAGGTATTTCTGAATGTCGACTAAGGCATACACATTTGCTTTAATCTATTACAGGCCATGGCAAAGGAGGTGAGCTGCCCAGTTCTCTTTTTTCCACAGACAATTCTGAAATAAACTGGTACCCATCACATGAGGATGAGCTGACCCCAGAGTTGAACTGGTAAGTAAAAGTGACCCTAGAGTTGAACTGGTAAGTAAAAGTGACCCCAGAGTTGAACTGGTAAGTAAAAGTGACCCCAGAGTTGAACTGGTAAGTAAAAGTGAAGGTCAATTTTAAAAAAATGTCTGGGGCTTTTCAAGGCCTTGAAGGGCCAGTTGGCTGTTCTATGATATTTCCAGGTTTCAAGGGCTGCCACAAGCCCTGTCGTAAGACTGAACTGACTTCTTCTTCTTCTTCGCGTTCACGAGCTGTAAACTCTGGCGGAAAGTACTGGCTGTTCATAAACTTCTGGGCTGCAGCCCTGCTCCAGAACTTGATTGTTGCGTTTGCATCTGTTTGACAGATCTCACTAATTTGTATGCAGTGCTGGTTCCTTGCCTCTCAGGCAGATGCACTCCAACTTTAAAGGAAGCTCCCAATGAGTCGACTCTCACGACATGCTTTTGGGTAGGCAGTGGGTCTATTCTTGTTTTCCCTACTACAGGGCCCTGGAACTCACACGAGGAGAACTGACCTCAAAACTGAGTTAACAAGTAAACTACAGTAAACCCCAGTTAGAGACTCAGCACATAGTGCTAGACCTATATAGTTTTTAATAGACTAACAATAACAACATGGCACCAGCCGCATTCACTTCCTAGTACAAATTTTAGACTGGGTCAACTTCAGAGCCAAGATCAATTTTGATCAAATTGATGCAGATTTGAACACAAGAGCTTCAGACCGGTAGGCAAGCACCTAGCAACTTCACTACCACGGCTCCCTGCCGGGGACGGTATTAGATCTAAAATTTAAAATCATCAGAATTTGTCATCCAACACTGACACTACAGTCCATGAAGCAGCTCCCACGTCTCTCTCCCAGATTATGCTGAAGAATACAAATATGATCTGGAGCACATTGGGGAGGATACTAGAATAATCCTAGGAAAAGGAAATCAACATAAAAAAATTTATGTTATGCTAGAAACAGACCAGACCCTTAGCCTTGACTGACAGGTGGTCTAGGAGGAAAGCCCCCAACAGGTGGTCTAGGAGGAAAGCCCCCAACAGGTGGTCTAGGAGGAAAGCCCCCAACAGGTGGTCTAGGAGGAAAGCCAACAGGTGGTCTAGGAGGAAAGCCCCCAACAGGTGGTCTAGAAGGAAAGACCCCAACAGCTGGTCTAGGAGGAAAGCCTCCATCAGGTGGTCTAGGAGGAAAGCCTCCATCAGGTGGTCTAGGAGGAAAGCCCCCAACAGGTGGTCTAGGAGGAAAGCCCCCAACAGGTGGTCTAGGAGGAAAGCCCCTAACAGGTGGTCTAGGAGGAAAGCCCCCGACAGGTGGTCTAAGATTAAAGCCCCCAACAGGTGGTCTAGAAGGAAAGCCCCCAACAGGTGGTCTAGGAGGAAAGCTCCCAACAGGTGGTCTAGGAGGAAAGCCCCCGACAGGTGGTCTAGGAGGAAAGCCCCCAACAGCTGGTCTAGGAGGAAAGCCCCTAACAGCTGGTCTAGGAGGAAAGCCCCCAACAGGTGGTCTAGGAGGACAGCCTCCATCAGGTGGTCTAGGAGGAAAGCCTCCATCAGGTGGTCTAGGAGGAAAGCCCCCGACAGGTGGTCTAGGAGGAAAGCCCCCGACAGGTGGTCTAGAAGGAAAGCCCCCGACAGGTGGTCTAGGAGGAAAGCCCCCGACAGGTGGTCTAGGAGGAAAGCCAACAGGTGGTCTAGGAGGAAAGCCCCCAACAGGTGGTCTAGGAGGAAAGCCCCCAACAGGTGGTCTAGAAGAAAAGCCTCCAACAGTTGGTCTAGGAGGAAAGCCCCCGTCAGGTGGACAGAGTCTGGAGTTAACAAAGCAGGCCGAGGCAGGGATCATGCTTCACAGGCAACACATGTTCTCTACAACACCAACAAGGCTTTGTGCCATGTGGAGGGATAACTTTAACCCTGGTATTCATTTATATCGTCATTGCTGTGAGTCTCATGCCTCCGTAGTGCCCAATAAAACATGATCATCTGAATAAAAAAACAACCCAGAAAGATGCCAACTTATAGTACTCATATCAAATACTGAGGAGAGGACAAACTTCTTCTTCTTCTTTAGCATTTCAAGCACATGAAAAAGACAAGCAGCATGAAAAAATAAACACATTATTCTAAAAGGGTCACAAGTGAGGCACCGAGACAAGAAGTTACCTTGAGAAAGTCTGATCATACTCTGGAGTAACCTCATTGTCGTGCGAGCTGCATTTCGATCATCGGCTCCTCGTTGTGCTCGGTAGTAAGCTTGTAAAACTCTGAAAAATGTGCATCCTTTTGATTACACAGCATGTGAGTATTACCTATTAAAATAACATACAGACAATTCTGGGCTTCAATCTAAAACATCTTTTACAAAGAGCAGCTAGTTATCTTGAACGATTAAATTGACATCATCAATAGTAAGTAGAACATGAACAATATTCCCACATTCTTCATCTTCACCAGCCGTACACTCAAGCAGAAAGTTCCATTGTTTGTCCACCTCTGGACTTTAGACTTGTTCCAGAATCTGAGAGTTGCATGCACAACAGTTTTACAGATATTGCTAATTTGTATGCATACAGTTGGTTCCTTGCCTCTCAGATAGATGCACTTCGGCTTTGAAGGAAGCTCCCAATTAGTCCATTCTTACGATATGCATGTTAGGAAAGCAGTGGGTCTTTTCTTGTTTTCCTAACAATGGGACCCTGGAACCCACGTGGGGAGCACACAATCTGAGAAACACTTAATGGCAGCGAGTCAGACTTGCTATCCTCTTTCTTCTTTGATCTCGTCTGCTTAGTGCCTCTAGGCATCACAGTATAATATATGATAGGTTGCCGAGCTAAGGCATGCTTGCTTGCTGGTTTTGAAGTCTGAGGCTGTCAATAACTCCTTCAATCCTCGTCCTTTTAGGTCTCCCTCTGCATCTTGGTGTTTCTATTTTCACGTTGTATGCTCTTTCTGCCAGCAATACAGGATTTATTTTCACTAAGTAGCCGAACTATTTCAGTTTTTGTTTCTTAGTGAAAGTAAATATGGATATTGCTCCAATAGTTTTTTTAAAATCTCTTCATTTCTTTCAGGATCTTTTAGTTCTGTAGGCAGCTTGCCTCAAACATTCTTATTTCACAAGTTATGGTTTTCTCTCGTATTCTATGGTTAATGTCCAAGTCTGACACTGACAACCTAAAGTTGTGATAAAGATACATTGTGTAATAAGTGGGATTTGTTATCTCTCGTTGTCTAGGTGGTGTTCATGTGTGTGTCGTGAATGTTCTTATCACACACAACGTTAACGTAACTGGTACAAGCCGACACCAAGTTAGTCATACGAGCATCGATTTATTGACATGTTAAAACTTACAGCAATGTCCAGTCATTGTCCTAATACACGGCTCTCGTACACGAATTCACGCAGCCTTCAACATGCAGGTTCTTCATGCATTCACTGACCAGAGTCGGCTCCAATAAATCAGGTTGAGTTTCTTGCCATTACACAGACTGGCCTGGTTGATCTTGACTTCACACTTTGTCGTCAGGGTCTCCTTTCGCAGCAAGCAATCTTACGTTGACATTCTTACACTCAGTCGCACATCCTCTCGCTCCAACAGGTCGACACAAACTAAACTTGATCAGAATCACGTCTGACTTATACCACGGGTTAGTTTCACATAGCAACACGTGGTGGTCCTTTACTTTCACGTGGCGACCTTTGGTCGCCTCATCGTGATACCCGTGATAACTCGTGGTCATCACCTATCTCAAGATCCTCGTTTAATCCGAGTATCTGGAACATCTCGGTGTTTTTGGTTAGCTTTGGGCCTTCCCCCCATCCTTCCTAATCTGGGTGAAAATATCCCCAATTACACATTGATAATTTTGTCTTTTTGTCTCTTGAAATAGCCGAGTGTTGCAAGATTGGGGTAAATGTCTGTAGGATCGGCATCTGTGGCTTAGGCGATGCGAATGCACTTCTTAATCCTAGGGTGCCAGTCTTCATCCCAGCTGCAAGCAATTTACACAGCAGACCACCTTGCATTCGGTACTGCAGATTGACCCTTCACAAAACAATGGCAAACTACTGAATGTAAATTTGACTAGAAAAACCACAACAGCCAAATGAATGCTGGCGTTGGTTCTGCAAAGTCCGGTTAAGGAAATGCTGCTAACTTAAAAAAAAAACCTTCAGAGGATTACAGTGGATATGCTGACATACTGAATTCTTGTTTGTATCAGTGATGACAGCAAAGTTTATGAGAAAAGAGATTAACATCTGGAAGACATGGCCACATGAAACAAGCGAGACATTGCTGATAGAACAAATGTTACACTCAAGTTCCACACCTACCCACCTGCTGGACTGTGCGGTCAGTTTAGGTTCTATGGATTTGACAAGTGTCAGGTAGGCTTGCATTTTATCCATTGACCACAGGCCAGTGACATCCCCTGGAGAACAATGTTTGCTTCAAATCTAGCAGCAAAACCACAAAATGTCACAGAAGAAACTTAACATTTACAAAGCTATGCCTTATACAAATACTTCAAATTTTCTGTCTGCACACAGGTGCCAATAAACAGTGGCTTATCAGGAGTTAGAAGGAAATCATTTATACAGTATAACAAAATATCCTTATCTTTATAACAAGAAGACAGATGTCACTAAAAAAGAAAAAAAAACTCAATATAACTAGAAGTTATTTAAACTAGGGCTTTACCGAATAGGGATTTTCACTATTCCGCCGAATACGAATAGCAGGACCAACTATTCGGCCGAATACGAATGTAAATAGTGTATCATCATCATCAGGTGCCTTGCCGACTGGCGTAGGCCTTATCACAATCTGTGATCTCCTGCAGCATGTATTAGTTCGTGTGCCGACACACCTCCATGCCATGCAACAAGACTGTCGAGAATCCTCTCTCTTTGTCTTCCTCTATCCCTCCTTCCACAGATCTTTCCAGTGGTCACCACATGTTCCATTTTCCGTCTTCTCATAACATGGTCAAAAAATAATAACTGTCTCCTTCTGATGTCTGTGATTAGTTGTCTTCTAGTTCCTGAATCTTTCAAAACCTCTTGGTTGCTTTGTTTGTTGTTGTTGCTGTCCAGGGTATTTTAAACATTGTTCCGTAAAACCACATCTCTGAGGCACCAAGAAATTTTTGGCCTGCCTACTGATTGTCCAGGACTCACAGTCGTATGTTAAAACTGGATGCTGTACCACGCAACCGGGTCGCAGTTGCGCCCGCTATGACAGACTTAGGCAACAGCAACTATTGTTTTAATTAGAGAGTTATTTCAGTCTATCACCGTGTATGCAAAAATGGGTGTAAGGTGACCACTATTCGCATTCGGCCTGACTGCAAGTATTCGGTCAAAAACCGAATAGTTATTAGGTCCACTATTCGGCCCCGAGCGAATACAAAGTGAATATTCGGTAAGCCCTAATTTAAACCTTTATAACAATAACACATTTACCCATTGCATGGAAGGCAATGAAATAGCGGACAGGTTGGCTGGAAGCGGCAGTGACATGGTACAGCTAAATAGTGACCTAACTCACCAAAAGAGATGAAAACATTAATACAATCTATTATCCAAGAAAGGTAGGTGGCTGGATAGACACACCAAATTCTCTCCTGAAGACTCACTTCATTGCCTCTCTAGAGAGGGACAGTGCATTATATTCAGACTAAGGACTGGGCACAACAGACTTTCTCAACATATGTTCAAACTTTTCGGTGTAGGAAACACAGAGACATGCCCCTGCAACTTGACACCTGAAAATGCTGAGCATGTACTCCAGGACTGTCAACTGTCAACACAATAAAGACAAAGCTGTATGGTACACAAGAGGATATGGACTGCTTGATAGCTTTCAGAAAGGCTACCAGGCTACATAAGTTTTCTGACAGAAGGAGCAAACAAAAAGAAGATAAGAAAACATCAAAAACTGTATAAGGCAAAGACTTTTCACATTTAATAATGACATTTAAAAAAAAATTTAAAAACATTAGCTCATCGTAATAAGATATTCAATCATATCAAGAATATCAGAACATCTGCACCCCTCAAAATTACATGAAAACTCTACCGGATGAACTGCCTTGAGCAAACTCTGGTAGGAAAGAAGAAAAAAAAAGCAAAGACAAAAATAAAACAAACTAGCATATAACCATGAAGTTGAAAATTTATTTTTAATGTATCCTTTACAGGACATTGCATAACCAGCTCAGGCATTTTTTTGGTCATTGCAATTATTCTAGGCAAATTTTATGTTCAGTAGTTTGCCACTGCTTCTGAACAGTCGACTCCCTACACCACTGCTGAAACCAAGGCAAAATGGCTTGCTGTCATAGTGCCTGAAGCTGGGATCGTAGCTGGACTACGAAGTGCATTCGCAATGCCTAAGCCACAGATGCTGACCCCCTCAAAGGCAAGGGTGAAAACAAAGGAACCACAGCTGAGGAATTTTACAGGGATGTCGGTGACTAAGCAGACTGGAGGGACATTTCACAGTTATAGATTGCTTTGTACCTCAGTGACTGCAGATCACAGATAACAGTCAGACAAGTTGAGGAATGTCTAATGGTACTGATAATTTGGTTTAGCCGGGAGCTGAGAAGACGGGGGAAGAAAAAACAGAAAAGGAGGAAGAAGAAGAAAGAAGTCTCTGGATTGCTCGATATCCAACAACTTAGGACAAGTAGAAAAAAAACTATTACTCTAAACTGTAAAACTATGTGGTGCACAGAAATAAAATAACTAGAATATTCAATGCAAGAAGATAAATACCAGCAGGATCTACTCCATCCAGGATAAATGAAGACACAATCCTATCCCACTGGCTATTCTGTGTGTCCAGAAGTACCAAAACCAGGTCAAATCTGGACAGGAGTGGACTTGCCAAAGCAACATTGACACACAGTGACTGGAAAGAAAACATGATGATAGTTATTTACAAACTGTCCCCGTGTGGATGCTGGGGGCCAATTTTGGGGGGAAAAGAATAAAACCACTGACCCACCCCGCTTCCCCTTTCCAAAACAAGCATGTATTGTAATAAAAGGTGACTAATTTGGGATGTACCTTTGGAACTGGACTGTATCTGCCTGTGGCTGAAAGGTGAGGGACAAACAGTCTGCACACAAATAAGCCAGATCAGTAAAATGGATGTGTATGCCAAACTCAAGTTCTGGAACAAAACCAAAGAGTACAAATGGGCGCACAATCAGAACTTTTCAAAGTTTACAGCTGGTGAATGAAAAGAAGAAGAAGAAGAAGAAGAAGGTTTACAGACTGTAATAGTTGTCTGGAAATTCAATAGTAATGAGTTAGGAGATCAAGATGCGGTGCATTCACACTCTAGAACAGGATCAGCTAATATCTCTGACACACTAAACAACTTAGTAAGACTAACACATTGTTAACATTTGATTTAGCAACAGGACAGGACACCCTGAGCGAATAAAGGCAGTTCTCATTCACAAAAAGCACATGTAAATATTTTTCTCATTGCATTCTACAACATGAAGTGTCATCCTGTCTGTTACCAAGCTGTAGACAGTCCAAGCAAATAATCATAACACTTAACCTCATTTGTCCTGAGAAGCAGGTAAGCCACTTCATTACCAATGATAACTGTCAGCAGATATTCACATTTTAAGCTACAATTAGGGAAATGTCTATAATGTGAAAGTCCTACACTTGACTATTGTTATCAGATCACATACCTCGGCTGGATCATAATGTCCCTTTGGGTTAGTGGCTGCAAGTATGGTAGTTCTTGTACTCAGCTTGCACACAAGTCCCGCCTGCAAAAAAAGCCCATTTCAAATATACCTTCAGTATCTGATACACAAGACAAGCACAGGGTTTAACAGACAACATTAGGACAAGGTCTAATACAGAACATTATGAGACTCCATTATAATATCTTATCCTCATCATCATATGCAGTGCAGATAAGTTGAGACTTTCACGCTTTGCCATCTCACAGAATCACCAGAATAACAGATCACGTCAGTGCTGAGGCTGTCATGCTTTACCATCTCACATAAACAACAGAATAACAGATCAGGTCAGTGTTCTTATCTCACTCCATACATGTGGCTAACTTAAGCTTGTCTGCTGAAATATGTTACATGGCCTTGTCTAATATACATAAGACAGTGTAAAATACATTTCACAATATAGTGTCTAATATCTAACAACCAAGGACAATAAGAAGAAACAGATGAAAACAATATGGCAGACAGAGTTCTTCCTCTTCTGTGCATGCCCTTAGGGGCAGTTGGCCCACTGTGTTTGCGGTTTACAGGTCGCCTGCAGAATCTCCACCTTTAAGCCCAATGCATATGATTTTAGCAAACCTGCACTTAGTCATTAACGACATGCCTCAAGAGCTAAATAAATTCCATCCTGATATGCAGAAGTGAATCATGGACAGTTAGACAATTAGTAAAAAATTACTTAGAAGCGGTTGCGATTTGATTTTATAGACAATTGATAAGAATACCCTGGACAGATAAAAAGAGTAAAGAAGATGTCTTGAAAGAAACTGACGCATGAAGAGAATGATTGCTGATATCAGAAGTAGACAATACATTCTTTAGTCATGTGATGAGAAGGAGAAAACTGGAGTATATCTTGATGATGGGAAAATTGAAGGAGAAAAGAGGCAGAGGTAGACAGACAGAGAAAATGCTGGACAGTCTGACATCATGGCATGGAAGATCATATGTGTCAGAATTTACTGAAAGTACATGAGAGAAGGTTGTGGATAGACATGACTACCAACATCACACTGCCCGAACTATGAGAAGAAAGACCTGCTCGTTAAGAGCTAATGGGCTAGTTAAATGAAGCTCCGGAACCCAGAGAGGCGGCTCCAGAACCCACAGAGGCAACCATGGAACCCACAGAGGCAACTCCGGAACCCACAGAGGCAACTCCAGAACCCACACAGGCAGCTCAATGTTATATAATGATAAAGCATGTGAGACTCAGCTGAATATTCTGTAGCAACAAAAGCTCACCTTAGCAACACTGATGGTCTGCTGCTCCATGGCTTCATGGATGCTGGCCTTGTCATGTTCCTTGATTGAGTTGAACTCATCGATGCAGCACAGACCCCCATCAGCCAAAACAAGGGCTCCCGCCTCCAGCTGCCACTCTCCTGAATCCTACAAACAGTTTTTAAAAAGTTATTTGCATATCTTTTACAGGGCTTTGACGAACAAACCCCAGAATTTTTTTTTTTTTTTTTTTTTTGTCGTGGTTCTTCTAGGCAAATTCATATTCCGCAGTTTGCCACTACCGAATGCAAGGCGGTCTGTCCTCAAATCACCCGCAGCTGGGATCAAACCTGGCATTCTGGCATTAGGAAGTGCATTCGCATTGCTTAAGCAATAGATGCCGAACCCTTAGACATTTACTTTTCTTAGTAATCCATCAGCAGCATCAAAACGTACTGAGCCAACTGGCAAGGATAAGAAGGCTTTTGCTCATCTCACAACTCCATTTTTTGTTCTCCACATGCCTACTGTCTTCATATTCGGGGTTGGCTACAGTGTGTCCAGTCCTCGGAATATTATGTGGTGAAGAGCCCCTCAAATCCATTTCCTGTTGTGGCTCTTGAACTTAAAATTAACAAGAACATTGTTTGTTAATCATCCCTCACAGAAACAAAATCCTAGTATTCGAAGATCATTCATCTGCTAAATTTAAACTTCCTTACTAATCTCTAAGATACAGAGCTGCAGTCTAATATCACTGTTGACCCAGTCAACAAATGCTCGATGAAGTCAGATGTGTCAGCCGAAAGGCGCAAATATCACAGCTCTGTTGTAAACAACCCAAAGTACTTACGTCATTCAGATGAACGAAAAGAAGAAGATATTACTTATCAAGTTATGCCATGATAAACAGCTGCCAAAAATGTTCCCTTGCTATTTTCTTTGACTTTGTTCAAATTAATGATTTCACTCAAAATCTCTCTTCACCACCATGAGGTATCCGATGTGAACACTACTCAGATTAATGAAGGAAGCATTTACTATGGTCTCTGCTACTGTTCTTTGGTTTCATGGTACTAAGCAATGATCCTCAGCAAGTCAACATTACAGGGACGCATGTGGATATCGTGCCCGGGACCTGCAGGAGTGTGAGGGTATGAAAGAGCTGAATTTTATGTATGTGTGTGTGTGTGTGGTTACAAAATCTATAGCTAGAGGAACACATGTATAGGTCAAAGAAGAATTCTGACGATCATTTATGAACAAAAGCTGATAGATGAAATAGCAAGTGTAAGAATGTGGGAACGTAGAAGTCAGGAGTGGATCCGGCAAGGAGGAGGTAGAGTACAACTTGTGTACAATCAGTGTGCTATGGAAACGGTTAGCTTGTACACCTCAAGACATTTGCTGTGGGAGACGGAGCATCTATCAATACGCCCAGTGTGCTATAAATCTGTTTCTTAAATTATTAAGTAACCAGCACCAGTGTGTGTAATTTTCTTTGTTGTCAGTCATTTTGATGAAGTTGGTGTTGCATATAACATTACTTTTTATTCAGCTTTCCACATATATCTATCTGAATCTCTTGCTGGCATTTTCCCACTCTCAGGCAAATTTCTATAGTCAACCTCTCACTATAGGATATTTCTTCTTCCTCTTAGCGTTTACAGGCCGTAAACTCAGGTAGAAATTTCTGGTTGTTCATCCACCTCTGAACCTGGTCCAGAACTTGAGTTGTGTGTGCACATTCGTTTTACAGATCCGGCTTATATGTATGCAGATTGTTGGCTGATTGCCTCTCAGACAGGTGTGCTTATACTTTGAAAGAAACATTGCTAATTAGTCACTTTTATGACCCGCTTGTTAGGGGGCAATGGGTCTATCCCCCTGGAACCCACATAAGGATACAGAGTATTAAAAATCTAACAAAATATCTGAAAATAACACTTTGAACTGGCAAAACTACTAATGAAAGAGCAGCTAATATTGTGCCAAAACACTGATGGCACGACTTTACAAACTGCAGCAACAGAAAATAGAATGAAAAGAAACAACATCACAAACACACGTACTGAATGTAAAAACCAGTGGCGAAAACAGAAATAGTTAAAACTTACATCTGCAACAAGACGTGCATAAGAAATCGCAGAAAGTTAAAAATCACCCATGCAACAAAACGCACAAGAAAATCACAAAAATATTTTTAAAATCACATAAGCAACAAAACATGCATTAAAAAATTGCAGAAATAGTTCAAATCACACATGCAACAAAACATGCACAAGAAAATTGTAGAAATAGTTCAAATCACACTTGCAACAAAACATGCACAAGAAAATTGTAGAAATAGTTCAAATCACACTTGCAACAAAACATGCACAAGAAAATTGTAGAAATAGTTCAAATCACACTTGCAACAAAACATGCACAAGAAAATTGTAGAAATAGTTCAAAATCACACTTGCAACAAAACATGCACAAGAAAAATAGTTAAAAAATCACATTTGCAAAAAAACATGCACAAGAACACCTGTAACACAACAAGGAAGTCACCTTGGTAGCGGTGACAGTCAAGCCTGCACTAGTGCTGCCGATACCCGTTGTGAGCACCGAACGAGGCGTGATCTTGCAGGCATACTTGAGAAACTGCGACTTCCCGGTACCTGACCAGACAATTGTGGTATCCTATATGTAAAATGTAACGCAAAGGTTCCGACTGTATGTCGTAGGGTAGCCAAGACATATGGTTCTTGTCAAAATAGTATAAGGCTTTTTATTTCTTTTGTTGATACCATTGGTACATCGGGCATAGGATGCTGTATTCATACTGTTAAATTCCAATCGCCACGCCATGGTTGCCACATCACGCTGGCTACCTTTACTCCCCGGGATGTTACCTGATACACATTTCTGGCTAGGGTGACCGGCAGCCAAGGTCAATTCTGAACAAAAAGAAAATCCACCTTGATGTAGATTGGAACACAAAACCTTTGGGTCACCAGGCAAGTGTCTAGCCACTACGTTACCACAGCTACCCCATGTGGTGCTAACTGCATATTATTTACAGACCAAACTGTAACTGTGGAGGTAGTAAATAGCCCACTTTTATGTCTGAAAACTTTTTAAGGCTAGGTTGATTTGAAAGGGAAGTTTTAAAAATGTGCCTACATATAATTATGCTTGTGTCACAATAACAAAGTTCTCAGTCAAGCAAAGGCAGCATTTTTCAGAATGAAGAATTTTCTGTGCATTCTTTCTTTCTCAACTGGGGTGGGACGGGGATTCTCAAGGGCATATAAATCCTAACCTGATATAGGGAAGTGAATCATGGACAGTTGGCCAATTAGAAAAAAAAAATGTACGTGAAAGTTGCGGCACTATGATTTTATAGATGAATGACGAGAATACCCTGGAAAGATAAAAAGACCAATAAAGGTGACTAGAAAGAATCAGAATCATGAAGAGAACTGATTGTCCACAACAGAAAGAGACATTCTACATTATTTGGTCATGTCATGAGGAGAAAACTGCAGTACATTGTGACAGTGGGAAAGTTGAAGGGGGAAAGAGGCAGAGGGAGTCCTAGAGAGAAGATGATGGATAGTCTGAGACAGTGGCATGGAGGATCATCTGTGTCAGAGCTGACTGAAAGTAGATGAGACAGAAGGGTGTGGATAGATATGACTGTCACAACCCCATAGCATAGACTATGCCAAGACACAGTGGCATGGAGGATCATCTGTGTCAGAGCTGACTGAAAGTAGATCAGACAGAAGGTTGTGTATAGATATGACTGTCACAACCCCATAGCATAGACTATGCCAAGACACAGTGGCATGGAGGATCATCTGTGTCAGAGCTGACTGAAAGTAGATCAGACAGAAGGTTGTGTATAGATATGACTGCCCCAACCCCATAGCATAGACTATGCCAAGACACAGTGGCATGGAGGATCATCTGTGTCAGAGCTGACTGAAAGTAGATCAGACAGAAGGTTGTGTATAGATATGACTGCCCCAACCCCATAGCATAGACTATGCCAAGACACAGTGGCATGGAGGATCATCTGTGTCAGAGCTGACTGAAAGTAGATCAGACAGAAGGTTGTGTATAGATATGACTGCCAGAATCCCATAGCATAGACTATGCCAAGACACAGTGGCATGGAGGATCATCTGTGTCAGAGCTGACTGAAAGTAGATGAGACAGAAGGGTGTGGATAGATATGACTGTCACAACCCCATAGCATAGACTATGCCAAGACACAGTGGCATGGAGGATCATCTGTGTCAGAGCTGACTGAAAGTAGATCAGACAGAAGGTTGTGTATAGATATGACTGCCCCAACCCCATAGCATAGACTATGCCAAGACACAGTGGCATGGAGGATCATCTGTGTCAGAGCTGACTGAAAGTAGATGAGACAGAAGGGTGTGGATAGATATGACTGTCACAACCCCATAGCATAGACTATGCCAAGACACAGTGGCATGGAGGATCATCTGTGTCAGAGCTGACTGAAAGTAGATCAGACAGAAGGTTGTGTATAGATATGACTGCCCCAACCCCATAGCATAGACTATGCCAAGACACAGTGGCATGGAGGATCATCTGTGTCAGAGCTGACTGAAAGTAGATCAGACAGAAGGTTGTGTATAGATATGACTGCCCCAACCCCATAGCATAGACTATGCCAAGACACAGTGGCATGGAGGATCATCTGTGTCAGAGCTGACTGAAAGTAGATCAGACAGAAGGTTGTGTATAGATATGACTGCCCCAACCCCATAGCATAGACTATGCCAAGACACAGTGGCATGGAGGATCATCTGTGTCAGAGCTGACTGAAAGTAGATCAGACAGAAGGTTGTGTATAGATATGACTGCCCCAACCCCATAGCATAGACTATGCCAAGACACAGTGGCATGGAGGATCATCTGTGTCAGAGCTGACTGAAAGTAGATCAGACAGAAGGTTGTGTATAGATATGACTGCCAGAATCCCATAGCATGGACTATGCCAAGACACAGTGGCATGAAGGATCATCTGTGTCAGAGCTGACTGAAAGTAGATCAGACAGAAGGTTGTGTATAGATATGACTGCCCCAACCCCATAGCATAGACTATGCCAAGACACAGTGGCATGGAGGATCATCTGTGTCAGAGCTGACTGAAAGTAGATCAGACAGAAGGTTGTGTATAGATATGACTGCCCCAACCCCATAGCATAGACTATTCCAAGACACAGTGGCATGGAGGATCATCTGTGTCAGATCTGACTGAAAGTAGATCAGACAGAAGGTTTTGTATAGATATGACTGCCCCAACCCCATAGCATAGACTATGCCAAGACACAGTGGCATGGAGGATCATTTGTGTCAGAGCTGACTGAAAGTAGATCAGACAGAAGGTTGTGTATAGATATGACTGCCCCAACCCCATAGCATAGACTATGCCAAGACACAGTGACATGGAGGATCATCTGTGTCAGAGCTGACTGAAAGTAGATCAGACAGAAGGTTGTGTATAGATTTGACTGTCACAACCCCATAGCATGGACTATGCCAAGAAGTCCTCACTGTTTATTTCTTGGGAAGAGAAGATTAATGTTTCCTATATGGAAGAACTAGACAGTTACAATCCAAGGAAGTAACAAGTTTGGACCTATGTCACTATAGTGGCCGGTTTGAAAATAAATCAAGACTTAACTTTAACACACGATAATCAAGTAGTCTGTGGAAATAGAACACTGTAACATAACAAATTAGTCATTTATAAAAACCACAAATTGTGTCTTTTATTCAAAACATATGAATATGAAGTAAAGCAAAATAAAATCCATCAATATTTGGTCCCAAAAAATAAAGCCTAATATGTACAGTCTAGGCAGTTTAACACTGAATATTTAGCACAGAGGTGTCGTGGTGTAGCCGCTAGACACTCGCCTGTAGAACCAAATGTTGTGGGTTCACATCCAAAAGAACCTGGGCTCTTAAAAAATGATCTTGGCTCACAGGTCAACCCAGCCTTAAATGGGTACCAGGTAAAATCCTAGGAAGTAAAAGTGGCCTGCCTGATGTTGACTACATTGCCTACCGAGTGTAGATTAGTCTATAAAATACAGGCTAGCACTATTTGCTTGATACACCTGAAACGGGTACTTACTGTTACTTTTGTCTAGCACTTTGTTAAAACATAAGGAAGAATAACTAAACATCTGCTAATAAACTATAAACATTCATCAACTGGTGACTGACAGAGTAGAAGGAATTAAATGAAATGATAAAATCACAAATGTGGAGCTTTGAAGAAAACTAAACAAATTCCACCGAATCAAGGGGCGATGAAAAGATGGTTTTATTTATTAGTAAAAAAAAACTATAAATTCTGTGAAACTGTATTTTGGCATTAATGTATATGGGGACACACACACACACACATATATATATATATATATATATATATATATATATATATATATATATATATATATATATATATATATATATATAAATAATAATGTTGTATATAATATGGTTGCATACTGAGAATGTTGTATAGAACAATTTTCTAAAGAACATGATTGCACACTGAAGAAAGGGTTGTACTTGTTTGTATATTGGAGTTATGATGCATATGGGGGGGGACACGTTTTATGCTTCTGTAGTTTTTTCTTTCTGAACATTTCAACAAGAATCAGATGTGAAAAAAATTTACAGACAGCAGCACGACAGTCACTGCGGAGCTCATCCACGACGTTTCTGCAACTTCACATCTCAATATACAAGGTCTTACTGTCATCTATATTCATGTAAGAAAGGGAATCATTGCAAGCCGAACAAGAAAGAAAGAAAGAAAGAAAGAAAGAAAGAAAGAAAGAAAGAAAGAAAGAAAGAAAGAAAGAAAGAAAGAAAGAAAGAAAGAAAAAAGAAAGAAAGAAAGAAAGAAAGAAAGAAAAAAGAAAAGTCATAAACATTTTACCTGGATCTCCAACAAGAAGTAAATGGATCTCCCCTCTGACCTTTGAACCTGACTCATCCACTCTCTGTCAACAGATAAACAAGACCGCGTGCATAAATAATCACTGCATTAACAAACAGTACATAGGAAATTAGCATAAACATGCAAATATTCATTTCTCACTGTGGTATTTGCCTCTATATTGCATGGTACACAAAAGAATAAAACAACTGAAGGCAGAGAGGTAAAACGACAACAATTACCATCACTCGACAGCATAACTTCCAACATCTCTTGAATTCTTTGGGCCAGTGGAAGAACTTTCTATCTATACTATAAACATATTTTCTCAACATCTTCCTACCATAAAACGAAAAAGACTATGCAATATTTCTTTCTCAGCTGAGACAAGAAAGAGAATTCTCAAGTGCTATATAAATCCTATCCTGATATATGGAAGTAAATCATGGAAATTTGGATAATTAGTGAAAAATTAACTGGAAGCAGCAGAGATATTGTTTTAATAAAGAATGATGAGAATGGAATGCATAGATTTAAAAAAAAAAGTAATGAAGATGTCTCGAAAGAAACTGAATTGCAAAGGGAACTGATTACCCACATCAGAAGGAGACAATCTACATTCTTTGGTCATGTGATGAGAAGGAGAAAACTGGAGTACATTATGATGATGGGAGAGTTGGAGACAGAACTGGAGTACATTATGATGGTGGGAGAGTTGGAGACAGAACTGGAGTACATTATGATGGTGGGAGAGTTGGAGACAGAACTGGAGTACATTGTGATGGTGGGAGAGTTGGAGACAGAACTGGAGTACATTGTGATGGTGGGAGAGTTGGAGACAGAGAGAGAAGATGTTGGACTTTCTACATCATGGTATGAAACATCATGTGTATCAGAACTGATTGAAAGTACATGAGACAGACAGAAGGTTGTGGATAGACATGACTACCAACGACATGGACTACAAGAATAAGATGCTACTCAGCAAAACCATCTATGCTAGTTAAAAAGAAAATGTAGATTGCGTTGAGATGAGGGAAACAATAGTGTATTCGTGGGGTGCAGTCTGAGTGGACAAATACAGTGCAGGTTAATGGGAAGACAGTAAGAGAAGAAAGTCAGACATTTAGTTGAACCATCACTAATGTGACGAGGGAGATAGCAGCTGTCACAGCGGCTCTTGCACGGCTGGCAGAGTAGAAAGCAACCTGGGCACTGATAGTAACAGGCTAAATAAGCAAGCTTAAGAAGATCCAAACTGGAAAAATCTGACTAGAATTGGTTGACAGCATCCAAAAGATCCACCTCAAGAAACTATCTTGGATTTACACATACCAGGAAACACACAGATGAGAGGACATGAAAGAGCTGACAGACTGACTGTGTCTGCAACAGTAAGTGGAGAAAGAAGTATAGACAGAGCAGACACAATGAATGTGCTATGTTCCAGAGACAATAAGGAAAGGAGTCAGAGACAATGATCCGCCTGCTGGAAGTGGGTACTAAATATGTAGAAACCGGTTGATGGGGTAAAGAAAGTAGATGTGCCAGTCAACTCATAATGGGTACGTTGAGCATAGAGATAGCTGCTGCATCGGACGGAACACAAATGGGTTACACTGATAGGCTAGGATGTTGATACGGATAACCAGTAATACGTTTAGAATTTATTGCACTATCTGGCTACATCTAGTGCTACAAATCCAAGAATAAATAAACATATAAATATTATATCTTTGAAGAAAAAACATGTGAAATGAAATGGTACAGGAACATTCTTCGAATACTGTGGACCAAGAAGAAAAAAACACTGCACATCGGACATGATCTGATTCATTGAGGAGAACTGGCTCATAAACGGCATCCTGCCCCAGAAACTAAGATATTTTGGCCGTGTTGAGTGACCTGGTGACCTGGACAGAAAGGTGATGGAGGGTACAGTTTCCAGACAATGAGTCACAGGATGACCTCCATGAAAGAGGCTAACAAGACACTGAAGATGCTTTGGCAATGTAAGCACACAGGGCTGGAGAACTGGCTAGAGAAAGAGAACATCTGAGGCGTGCCGTGATGAGAATGGAATTCTGTAAAGAAGGTGCTGATTGATGATGATGATAAATATTGTGGCACTGTAAGCAGCACTAAGGGAGTTAACTGCCACAAACTGAAACAAGATGACAAGCAACAGAGCTTACCTGTACACCACCAGCTAACACTACGGCTACCGCCATCTTGACCAGGTACAAGCCAAACACTTGGGGACACAGACTGGCCAGGATAACATTCCTGCCAGTAAGAGGCTGACCTCTGTAACCCCGCCAGAATTCATTTATCTCGTCTTTCTGTAAAAAAAGGAACACATTAATCCTTATAAATGAGTTTCTTCTTCTTCTTGTTCACTTCTTTTGCTGCTTTGGGTGTCGAGGGAGATACAGGGTTCTGGTTCTTGTTCTTCTGACTGCCTCGATCACTGACACAATGTAATATTGTAGAGTTCCCTAAATGTTATCTTTCCATCTTGTTCTTGGTCTACCTTATGCTCTACATCTCTGTAAATGGGATAAATGGGACAGTTGAAACAAAAATTATGAGACAGAATGGCAGATGCAGTAAAAGCAGCAGACTCAAAGGTCTTGGGTTCAGATTGATCCAGCCTATAATAGGTACTAGAGTTTTCCTGGGAAATAAAGGTGGATAGCATGATGTTGACCACATCATCCACTGAATACCTTCTTCTTCTTCTTCAGCATTCCGAGCCTTCAAGATTCATTGCTGCAGATATCATCCGTCTTCACTCATCACTCTGGCTGGCCTTCTCTTTCCAGTTGGTGACTCCTAATGTTTGCAAGTCTGTATGGTCTAGGACCATTCATCTATTCCAGTTAGCCTCTAAAAATATGATTCTAGCATCATATGCTCGATGGTGTAAAAATGAATCCTTTTCTTGAACTTACTTTAAAACCAAAACACAAACGCTCGGATTTAAAAAGAAAAACATTGCTTACAAACTCTTGGGTGATCATGACGCTGTTCCTCTGTTCATTCGTGACCAGGACATGGTTGGCATGCAGTACAATTTCAACATCACATCGTGAATCCACCGTGGAGGGTCTCCATCTCTGCCTCACAATCCCACTGAAAACAGTCAACATATAAATAATATCATATCATCAGCAGCCTTTCTTTATCTCCCTTGGAACATTAAGCCATATTTGCTATTTAGTGTTTTCAGCTCTTGTCGTATTCTTAGCATTAATAGGCTGTAGACTCCGGCTGACAGTTCTGGGTGTTTGTCCACATCTGCACTTTGGTACTGTTTGAAAACTTTAGTTTTGCCTGCACATTTGCTTTACAGTTTAAGGTTTATTTATACACAGACAGTTGGTTTCTTGCCTCTCAGGCAGATGCACTCCTGCTTCATAGAAAACACACCTAATTAGTCATCTTTGATAGAACCCACAAGAAAACAGACTCAAGTGCAAAATGATTCTATCAGAGAAGACTGTGGGAACAACATCTTGCACCACATTCACTGTGAAGCAGAAGATCAAATGGTTTGGCCATCTTGTGAAAATGCAGCTAGAACAACTACAAACTTAGGTGCTACAACCAAAGAGATCTGATGTGAAAGCAAGAGGGCGCCCAAAGAGAAGCAGACGGACACCAACCAATGCTACCCACCACAAACTAATCCTGGCCAGGACACTTTATGGCAAAAGTGGAACCTGGTGATAAAGATGACACTGCATCAAACATTATTACCACAGCCATCTGACTGCTTAGAATCAATGATTGCTAAATAGACAACAGATTCTTGGGCTATCTTCCGAATAACAGTCCTAAATCATCGAGGCCGAAAATATACCCTAACAGGGCCTCGCTCACATGTAAATTGCGAACTTCCACCACCGCTGAGAGTATCTCACACGCCGCTATGCGCGGCGTGGATTGGGGCTAAACTAGATGATACTCGTGGCGGTAGTCGCCAGAAGTCAGCAATTTACATGTGACTGAGGCCCTGTTAAGATATATTTTCGGCCTCGATAATTTGGGACCGTTATTCGGAAGATAGCCGATTCTTGACTCGGACAGATGCACTTCGAGTTCAAAGGAAAAAACTTTAATTAGTCGCTTTGTACAACATGCTTGAGTTATGAGTTAGATTATCTTCCCAGCACTCCGGACACACACATCCATAGGCGCTCAGATTCCCCTCTCAACATATTCATCAGCGTCGTGCGGTTAATAGTACCAGTCCTATGTTGGTTAACAAGACTTTGTAAGTGTCCAGTGTGCTTCTCATGTTTGGCTGTACCGATCTTTACTCCCAATTCTTGTATTCTTAGCAGTGATGTGGTCACATTGCTTCCAAAATCCTCAGAACCTTCTATCTAAGGGCTATAACAATGGCTGCATGATCCATGGGCCGGCCATCTTCAATTAATGTGCACCTGCCAGTCTATCAGCTCTAACAACATGCTTGTTAGGGGGCAGTAAGTCTACGCTCCCCCCCCCCCCAATGGGGCCACAGAAACCACATGGAGATTTTAGACATTTTGAAAAAGGTCAGTGTTTAAGATTCTTATGGGGTGAATAAGTTCCGAGAGAACAGTGAGGTAGAAGAAGTACTGCAAGAATAAATATTTACAAAGAAACCAACTTTACCAAACAGTGACATCATCACCAGCTTTGCATGTATCCACAAGGTCATCCTCAAGGACAACCCACATAGAACGAGGTATCGTCCCCATTGATAGACGTTGGACCTGTTCTTGGATTTTAATTTCTTGATAGTTGCGGCAAACATTCGGCCCAGATGCTAACAAACAACATCAACAAAATATGTAATTAACAAAACATAGCAAATAAACTCAGCCACAAAAAAAGTGTATAGAATAAATGTCATTAACTGTACACATCAAGAAATCACATAAAGGTTAAAGTTGACTGGATCAACTTCACTGCACTAGGGTTTATCCCATATGTCTCTGTCTGTCTCTGTAGAATAGCTAGCCGCATGCTGACAGCATCACACAAAGCTGGTGATGATCCCAAGGTGCCTCCATAAAAACTGCACTCGTGATTCGAACGACTCAGCTGTGAAATGAACACACATTAGTCTACCTCTTGCTCACTTAGCTTCAACTTTACCCTTAAGTGTGGTAATTATAAGGATGTTATGTATTTTAATATGGCCAAAATACTGAACTTGCCCCTCCTTAAAAAAATTTTTCAGCTAATTTCTTTTTATACTGTCTTCCCAGAACTTCTTTTTTCACACTGTATTTTGTTTCTGTGAAATACAACATACACTTCTGTATATCCACATAACCAGACTCCATACGATTCTCTAATTTCTCCATATGGCTTTGATGAGCAGTAGAAGGGGAAGAGGTAGAGGAAAACTAAAAAAGAAGATGACGGACAGTTTGGCATCAGAGCATGGAGGATTATATGTCAGAAATAACAGAATTAACATAAGACTATGGAAAGATATGACGTCCAACCTCATTTGGCACATACAGAAAAAAGAAAGAGAAGTCTTTTAACCTCTGCTTTTCTTTTAAGTTAGTGCACCTGCCTGAGCGGTAAGGAACCAACAGTCTGCATACAAATAAGCCAGATCTGTAAAACGGATAACATGTAAAACTTAAGTTCTGGACTAAGACCAAAGTTCAGAGGTTAAAAAAACAAAAAAACTGCTCCATAGTTTACAGCCAGTGAATGCGCAGAGGAAGAGGAGAATAACCCTTGCAGCTCAGTGTTTATTATCTTCTCTATCCACAATTGTCTCAACATTAATCTAAATCAAAAACCCAAAGAAACCTCTCCAAAGAAACACAGATTTAAAAAACTATGTGTAAGTGATAATCCCCACCCATGTAAGTGATAATCCCCACCCATGTAAGTGATAATCCCCACCCATGTAAGTGATAATCCCCACCCATGTAAGTGACAATCCCCACCCATGTAAGTGATAATCCCCACCCATGTAAGTGATAATCCCCACCCATGTGAGTGATAATCCCCACCCGTGTAAGTGATAATCCCCACCCATGTAAGTGATAATCCCCACCCATGTAAGTGATAATCCCCACCCATGTAAGTGATAATCCCCACCCATGTGATAATCCCCACCCATGTAAGTGATAATCCCCACCCACCTTTGTCTCCAGCAGGCACAAGAATGTTGCCCCCACAAGCATCGTTGACACACACTGTCCGCTTGCAGAGACTGTAACACTGCTCAAAGTCTGCCTAAATCAGGAGGCAAATAGGGACATATCATTCTCACAGAAAATATTTACACAAGACTATACACACACACACACACAAATATATATGTGCGTGTGTGTACATATCCCAATGTTCTTTCCTTTTCTATCATTCTAGTGTTATCCCAGCGTGTTTTTTTGGGGTCTATTACAAAAACCAAATATCGAGTACTTTCATGAACCTATAACTGACACTAAATAAATAAAGAAAACATAGTTTCCCATGTCTTCAGGCGTACAGGGTGTATAGGACTAGACCAATGTTTTATAGATCAATCGGCACTCAGTGAGTGATATAGTCAGCATCATGCCTGCCGCCTTTAGTTCCCAGGACTTTACCTGGTACCCAATTAAAACAAACAATCTTGTATTGTGCTAACAAAATGATAGTGTGGTTAATTTTAGATCTCCATGGTGATCATGTGATCAATATTAGACCTCTGTTAGTGGAAAGTCTTGACCAGGGTCAGGGACAATTCCATTTGAAAGGACTGATTATATGTTCGTGTTAACTCTGCATTAATGCACTGTCAAAATACAGCAAAATATCCCCCCCCCCCCCCAAAAAAATAATGATTTGTATCAACATTATTTAAATTTCTAGAAAGCAAATTATCGAGGAAAAGCATCACCTTTGCTGTCAAAGTTGTTCGACATTTTGCACAAATATATTCCTTCTCGTATTCGAGCATACGAATTAGAGCCGTCCTGATCACTGTACCTGGAGAAATAATACATTTTAACTTGAAAACAATTTACCAAAAAAAAAAAACACACACACTAATTTGATGTAGCATATATTTACAAGGTATACATCATCACCATGTGCCATGCTAATAAACATGTGTGCATGCAAATGATCAAAATGTTATACACAAGTAAAAATAAGATAAAAACACACATCATCTGGTGATTTCTTCTCTTTTCTCTGAAGCCATCAACCAACTCACATCATTTCCTCTGTAAAATTCAAGATAGGTTGAATATTGCAGCTGTTTTGGAACAATTTAACTTTTTCAAAAGGTCACAATTTGGACGCGCAGGCCCGCCTTACATTCGGCCCTTCCAAACACTTATTTTGTATACAGCAGTTGTATTTTATCTTTAAAGCATGTTATATAGTAACATAGGTACTATGAGCAGCAAGCAAAATACCCAAAAGCATGGCTGGTAAATACATGTGTGCCAGATAACAGACCAAAACTGCATACACAAGAGTTAAATGGGGCAGACCATTAAGATTGCGGAGAAATAATATACATGTCCAGCTACAAATACAGAAAAGAAAAGATCATACATGCAGATCTACAAACATTGAAAAGAAAAGACCAATCTGAGAGATGAACGGAGGCAGGTGACATCTGCATGTCCTTTTTTCTGGAGCATATCATGGATTTTCTGCCTAGGAAATTCAGGTGTGCAAGGATATGAGCAGGCTGATAGATTGGCTGCTGCTGCTCCTCTGGGCGGTGAGGTACTATATGATAAAACAGATGTGGTGAAGGCTCTATGGGATCAAATGGACAGTGCAGAAGAACAGAAAAGGAATCCATTTGCTAAAATACTAACTCAACAGGGAGTAAAGGAGTTGGAAGATATTCAACACTGAAGGGTAAAGAAAGGTGGACTTTTATAATCAGGTCGCTACTGGTACCATTAGCATGTCAACCCTGAAAGAAGAAGAGAACGGAGCAAGTGTGGGAATGCCTGAGTGAAGTGATGTCAACCGTTGATTCATTCATTCATTGATTCCAGTCCACAAGGCAGCTAGTCTCAAGCCAAATATCAACAAGCCTCCTACAATATGTAAAACAGTTCACAGTGTTCATATTTCATTCTTCCCTTAGGGCAATTGGAGCCGCTGTGGCGTACAGCGACTAGATGCTCGCCTGTGGATCGAAAGATCATGGGTTCACATCCTGACGGAGCCTGACCCTGGCTCCCAGGTGGACCCAGCCTTGAATGGGTACCAGATACAGTCGTGAGAAATATAAGCCGCAAACATGATGTTGACCACATCACCCACCAAGTGCAGATAAGTCTAAAAAGTGTAGGTCTAGCCCTATATGCCCAATGCAACTAAAGTGTGGAAAACTGCCCTTTACTTTAGTTAGAACAATGAAAACAAACAAGAGAACAGATGATGATTGTTTACCTGTGACAGAGAGAAAACTGCCCAAATCTGCTGTCCTGGGCAGCGTCGTCCGGTTGAGTTCAGGGCACACTGGCAGTGACATCACACGAACATGGACTTTCTTCTTGACTGTCTGCAAGAAAAGTCATAAGTTTAACTACAGAAAAAATCATACTTTCATTGCCAATCTCTGTCTTTAACTCTCCTCCCCATGTAGTGTTAGCTTCTTCTACAGGATACCCCATAAGTTTCCATAGATAGGACAAATACTATTTTAATGCATTTCCTCCTCTGCTGTTGAATGTTAAATTAAGAATCAACATCACAGCACTTCTGACACCCTCATAAGCACTCCATCCCCATCTTCAGCAGCAAGTGAAGAGTTATAATTCTGATGTATATCGGAATTATAACTTGTATATCTGCCTCAATGTATTTCGGAATTATAACTTGTATATCTGTCTCGCCCTTCCCTTCAGTGCTGAGCGTCGACCAGATTCCCTGCTAACTACCCGTAGTGCCATTATCCTTAGACGGTAATGATCCGTTTTTGCCTCCGCACTGTTGACTCACTCCCAAAGGGCCCTCATAATATCTAGCTTGTCATACATCAATTCATCACCAAGAGTTGCAGAACCGGCCAGTATATCTGCCTGCTCCTTTTTCAACACATCAGCATAACCTGGAGAAAATATCCAAAGTACACTAACTACCCGGGACCTCTGAAGTGATGCTTGCTACTCTGCACGGAGCATACCTGTCCCGCCTCTACTGAAGAACATGTCTAAGCACAGCTGGAGTTATGTAATAGGTTCAAGTAATAGGCTCAAGTAATAGGTTTATTTTTCCTATGAATAGAAACTGTTGGGACACCCCTACGACTGTCATTACTGTCAGTGTGAACCACTATTTAGAATGGTGTAGAATATGGTGGTCCGAGTCTAAGGCTTGAGGGCCAAATGGCTAGTGCAGTTGCCAAAAACTGAACAGACTAAAAAAAAAATCCATCACTTTTACTGAGGATTCAAACTCTGCTCTTCCACAAGATTCCACACATAGGAAAAAATACTGTTGTTTAAAAAACACATTTCAATTTACATCCGCCACTGCCGAAGAACATGTACACAGAGTTGGAGTTATGCTTGTAATGGTGTTGGTGATATGTTTATTTTTACTGGTATCCTGATACTGATCTTCTGACAGAAGGACTGCAGAAGACTGGTTGTGCCGATGTAAGTCATCTTTGCCTCACATCTTAACTATGTTGTTGCTTGTCTGTTTATCTTCATATGCTTCACATTAGTGACTTTGCACCACCATCTTAGACCTCTAATCTTATGTTTAGTGTCATTTTACCTTTCCTTTGTTATAAAAAGAAACAAGTAGTTATAATGCGTGATCTATATAATCCATTAGGTAATACAATACCTTACCAGGTGTTGCTGGTTTCTATCAGTGTCCAGAACCTTCTTCAAATCCAACTGAGCTTCGACAAGAGCTGTATCAAAAATATCCAGCATTGTCAGAGGTGAGGACAGCAACATATCGCAAAACTCCATGTTTTTCTCAAACAACGAAAGTGCACTGTTGATGGAGGGGGAAAAAGGCAATTTGTTTTTAAAAACCAACATACGTTAACACAAAAATAGAGACAGAGGACACGTTAAAAACAATCAATGTCTAACTTTCAGTTCTTGTTCTCAGCAAATGGGTTCTGGGGCTCCAGTTTGTAGGAAAAAAAAGGGGGTGACTAATCAATGGTGTTTGCTTTAAAATCAGAGAGAGGCATCAGAACCAAGAGTATGCATACAAAATGACCAGATCTGTAAAATGGATGTGTATGCAAAATTCAAGTTCTGGATCAATACCACAGCCCAGGTGTGAATGAACAACTTGATCACACATGGAAATCCCTAGTTCACACCATGGCCACACAAGTCCTGATCATAAGGAAGGGATATAACAGTGACTTGTATACTAGATAGCTTAGCCTGTGTTCTCATGGAGTATGCTGAGAAACAAAATATACTATACGTAGTAAATTAGGATGCAGGTCACAAGATGTCGTAGGGGAAGCCTGGGGTGGTTACATGAACCACTTAGGTACACAGAAACATGAGGGACATACTGAAACCTACCAAATTAGCTGTTACATGTAAGTCAGTATTCCAACTTCATGATAAATGGGTTACTCCAAAACTGCCCAGTCTCTGTGCCAATGGAAATCAAATAAAAAAAATAATGACATTCACTATCCCATTTGAAAACTAGTTTAAAAAAAAAAAAAAGAGTTCCCACAAAATGCTGGAAGACTACCTGCAAGGTAAATGCATGCATAAAGCAGAAGTCAGATGTAGCAAAACTAACATTAACAGCCCCATTGGCATGAGACTAGTTACTTTAGCTTTTTAAATACTGTTATTGCAAATTTAACATATCATGAACAAGTAAACATACAGCTTGGCATAACTGTTTGAGGGTTTAAGCTCCATTAGGAGCTGAGAGGCAGAAGAAAAAGACTATACACTGTACCAATTTCCCACCAAAAATGGGAAATAGTTGCTAAAGTAAATGTTAATTATGACTAAAACATACTTGACTGTGACAGAATTATATTCATCAGCATCAGTTGCTTGTAAAATCTGGCACACTTCCTCCTTGTGATTCGTAAGCAGATACTTCTTCAAATCATCTGAAAATGTATGGCACAGTAAATAAAATGTACACATTACAGAAACAGATATCTCAATCAAGAGGCAGTGTGATTCTATGACTATTGTGGTTACAAACATTTAACCCTTTAGAGACAGAGCCTTATCTGTTCAGTGCGCCAAGAAGACAGCCTTCAGGAGGGAAAAACTATAAATATTCTTGTAGGAAATTGAATGAACTAACACAATCTTTATGAATCACACTGAAACTCAGTGACATCTCTAAATTTTTTCAAATTAGCTATGCTGATTTATATATTTATGCATGCACTAAATTTAACGTGTGTAAATCGCCTGATGAATAAAACCCGAGAAAGTCCTAATACTTGTGTTTTGGGAAACAAGGCATATGGAGGTCCTTTAGACACCTCTGATACATGGTTCTACTCCTTTTCCTGCTTCCTGCTTTGTTTTGGTTTCTATGATGCAACAGACCTTTTCACCACTGTTGGGCACAGTTAACACCCACAAATAAAACTTGATGTAAAAATTACATAACGCAACAATTTTTAAACTCTTTGAGTCCCAAGAAACACGTCATACGTTCATAGGTTCCTACCTAGAAGCCCAATGGACGCAAGATGCGCCGATTTTGCATCTCTCTTGACCACCTCTTGGGCCGGTGATGCTAAACCTTCTGGGACTCAAAGAGTTAAGAAAGCTGCCACTGAACAGCCCACATGTGCAAGAAATGCGAGAAGTAATCTGATTAGCTAGTGTGAAGACCAGCTAGCCAATCTCTATTATCGGGCCGACAGATTAGCCCTGCCACCTTTTTTGGCTATTTTGCTGTTGGGCCGAAATAACGGCCCAGTGGTCTCCAAAGTTTTTTTTTTAAATTATACGAAATGAGAATGTTAGTTAAGTGAATGTTAGTTATGTTGTAATTTATTTATTTATTTTTAAGCAATGCAGATTGCCCTGTCAGCGAGATAAGGGCCATATATTGACAGACCAGCTAAAGGAGAACAGACAGCTAAGAGTGGGAATAACACAATATTACATAACACACCAACACAGCTAACTAGTTCTTTCAAACAAACTGCAGCGTGACCGACAGGATGCCATGACACAGCGAAAAGATGGAAAATGAAATGGTACAGACATGTAAAAAAGATCTAATGGCCTCTCGGTAACAATGCTATAGGATTCGGTGGAGGAGGAGAGGAGGCTGACCAAGAAAAATCTGGCAACCATTGCATCTGACTGACAAGGGTGGCTGGATCTGATCAGTCATTGAGTCAACAGGAACTGACCCGACGACACGCAGATAAGACGATAATGATGGGTGGTAAGATTAAGATGCCTAGATTTTAATTTAACATCACATCTAACAAAACAATGGGCAGCTGAGAAGAACGGATAGCATTGGAAAAAACTGCGGGACCTGTCTTGTACTGACTGTCAACAATTTCACAATAGGAAAGTGAATGAACTACTGTTGGAAAGAAACTGCAAACTGCCTAAAACCTCAACAAAAGTTACCAGTGGCAGGAATTCAGAGGAGTCAGGAGAGTGACAGGAGATTCGGAGAGACACGTCTAATGAGAGTAAGTGAGTGAGTAAGTTCAGTAACTAACTAAAACTTATATTTATATTATATACTATATAATTATATATATATAATACAATATCACGAATTTAAAAAAAAAAACAGATTTGTAATTTTCAAACTGGACAAATAAATATGAAAAATACTTTAAATCAAACCTTTCTGTAGAGCATTCTTATTGTTACGGCCGACTTCCATTTCTACTATTTAAAAAAGAAACGATCATAGAAAGTATCATTTAATGTTGTTGACAATCATATTCTAAGGAATACCCGCCATTGCTTTCAGGAAGTCCGGCAAAATGTTCCGTACTCAATGCCATTCGTGATTTTTAGTTGCACATTATTTTTTTTCCCCTCTGGAACCACAGCCTGAAAGATTGATATCAAATGTCTTAAAGTGCTGCTTCTCAGACGTGTTTCCACCATGGATTAGAGTCAGAGACCTCATTCAACCGTAGGAAATAGTAATATCCAGGCAATTGACGGTTACAAAACAAACTGTATTTTCCATTTTTCCGTTTTAACTTCAGCCTGAAATATTTGATATCCAGTCAGAGCCACTTACCTGCTCTCTCTGCACTGTGTGGATGAGGGGTATCGATTTCTGACATACAGTGGAACCTCGCTTAACGAGCATAATTCGTTCCATAATCATACTCGTTAATCGAAACACTCGTAATGCGAAGCAATTTTTCTCATAGAAATTAATGTAAAATACAATAATGCGTTCCATGTCGAAAAAAAAATTCACAAAATGCTATGTATAAATTTACTATAACATTTATTTAAAGAATATTATATACATATTAAAGGAGAATGAATCATCTTTAGCTTTTCTTCAAACGCGAAACGAACCCACTTGGAATGCGAATTCGATTTACAGAAAAAAAAGTCGAAATAATTATGATACACAGCTAATTATTGTTTTAACTAGAAAGAAGTCCAGAGACATTTGTCTTTGTCGACGCTTCAAAATTTGGCGAAAATGCGACACAGCCTTATCATTAAATTTGCAGCGCGCATAGCCACTTCCTAAATATGGTAATGCTTCTCAATGTGAGAAGCAACAGTTTGCCATGATTTCTGAATTTTTCTTATTTCGCCAGAAGATTGTTGCTTTTCTGTTACCTTCTCCTCCTCTATCAAACTGTCCTCCAAAACGTCTTGCTATGAAACACAATGCAACTCCATAAGCTCTTCGATGGTCAGCTCTTGGCTGTGCTCTTTCACAAGCTCTTCGATATCACTGTTAACCACCTATAATCCCATGATAGTGGCCAAAGACACAATCTCGTTGACTAAAGGTTCCACAGGTACTGTCTCGAACCCCTCAAAGTCACAAATCGACAACACTCTCCGGCCAAAGCTTCCTCCAAGAAAAAGTTAGGGTTCTCTTGGTAACCCCTTCCTGTGCCTTGTCGGTCATCTTGAGGCAGGCAACGATGTGGAAGTGATTTTTCCAAATCTCATTTAAGAGTGAGGTTGGTCCCTTCAGTCACCTGAAAACAATGCTCGAAGAGTGCTTTAGTGTAGAGATTCTTGAAGTTAGAAATAAATTGCTGGTCCATTGGCTGGAGTAATGGAGTGGTGTTGGGAGGCAGAAACTGGATCTTGATTAACTTAAATTTATCAGGGAGGTCATCCTGTAGGCCTAAAGGATTCATGCACATATATCACATTATAACACTAGTTTGAGGAAATGTGTAATCACAAGCGACACTACGATGCTACTGGAACGAGTGCTAAACACTGATGTAACATGCGCAAAATCCGGGACTTCCCCTCTCCTCGCCTCTCGTTATGCGAAACGTCGCTCGTTAAGCGAGTCATTCTTTTACAATTTGTTTTGCTCGTTATGCGAATTACTCGTTATGAGAGGTGCTCGTTAAGCTAGGTTCTACTGTAATTCTTTTTTTTTTCTTCTTCTTCTTCTTCATTTTTTCATTGGCCATGCAAAGGGCGGCTAGCATGCTGTGTTGTGGTTTACAGTCAGCAGGCGATGTATGTGTTTTTCGGCCTAATATCCAATTTAAAGAAGCCCTTAATTAATCGTTGGCATCTGTGGCTTAGGCGTTGCGAACGCGCTTCGTAACACCGGGTGCCGGGTTCGATCCGAAAGGCCTGCCTTGCGCCTTGCATTTGTTCTGATGGTGGTGTTGTAAAGCCGACCGACCAGAAAGCAATGGCAAATTACTGGACCTCGTGGCGCGGTGATTTATGTCACAGGCGTGAGGGGAAGTTAAGTCCAACATGATGTGTATAAGGAGATACTCCGTACGTCACTCGGGCGCCAGTCCTTTACTATCCTGGTTGTACGGAACCTCACGCAAGACCCCTACAGCACGTCCTCGTCGTGCGCCACGGATAATGTCTCAAATGAGCATTAATAGAGCTGTCAGGGGATCTCGGAGTTTGGCGGCCCCCAGAGGTGATGTGTCCTTGTGGCTCCCACCAGCCCGCCCCCAAACGCTTGGGTGAAAAATGTTATCAAAACTCATAAGGAACATAAGTAGGTTCGACAAAAGTACAGCTAAAATCACAACCCTTGGTTAAAAGACTGCTGAGTAAAGAGAACATTGCTCAATGCTCATCCTCGGTTAATTCTCAGTGTCGTCGTCACCGCGCTGAGATGCAACACAACAGAAACCATACATGGGCTGGCCATCCTTGTGCATCCTCGGTTGGCCCTCAGTGTCGTCGTCACCGAGCTGAGGTGCACCACAACAGCAACCATCCATAGGCTGGCCAGTCACGTACATCCTCGGTTAACCCTCAGTGTCGTCGTCACCGCGCTGGGGTACACCACAACAGCAACCATCCATCGGATGGCTAAGCCTAAATGTCCGACAAAACTAGATCATACGGATCAAAATCTGACCATCAAAATTTGCACTGAAATGCAAAAGGCCGAATGTCCATACCCAAAGACCCCACTCGCCCAAGTGTTGGGACAAAACTGATAACGATATGCCTGATTCAGGATGTGAAATTCTGCCGGGCTAATGTACCTATCTGTGTGGTCACAAAAGTCCAAAACCAACGGGCTGCTCCCCGCTGACTTCCAGAGGGCGCAGCCCCTGTCGAGCGGGAGGCCTGATACGGTTGTGAGGTTAAGCAGGCATGTGCAGGACGTGACGATTCCTTGGGTGAGCCCAGAACCAGAGCGCCATGTGCCGGCTCTGCATGCATGGAAGCCTCCTTGGATGGCGGGGAATGCCCATGATCTGCCCCTGCCTTCCCTTGAGGGCCAACTGTTCCACAGGGGGTTGCCCAAAAGGGGTACTCCGGGGGCAATACCTGCGGCGAAGGAGACAAGGCGGACACCACACAAATCAGGCAGCCTCGACCCACACAAAACAATGGCCACAGTCACCCTAGAAATAGGCCTGACGTCTTCCTTCGAAGTCGGCGTACAGCTGCCCAAGAGGCAGGGAAATTAAAAACGGTTGTACACGCAAAAATCAGGTCCAGGTGAAGGCCAAAAGTCCAAGCGGACGATTAACCGGGACCTTCCACTGGAATTCACAGTTCGATGAAAAAAAAAAAAAAATACTGGACCTTAACTTCCCAAGAAAAACCACAACAGTTACAAAAACAAAATGCTGAGGTTGATTCCGTAACGTCCTGTAAATGATTCGCAACTAACTAACTTAATTAATCGCTGTTGTGATACGCTTATTAGAGGGCAGGATGTATTTTACCCCCCCCCCCCCCCCCCCCCCGGGCCCTAAATTGGGCATTGAACCCTTAGAGGAAAATCATTGCAATATCAAAGGAGCATATTATACCCGTGCATAATTTCATATTTGCAATGTCTACCGACTGTCAACTGTATGTTTCTATGATATCACCATTACTGCTGTCTTCTCTTTATTCAAGCTGAGGCCCATTCTTCTACTTTCTAACACCACAATGTCTATCATTTCCTGTAGTTTTTTTCTGACTTGTCGCTATCAAGACTGTGTCATCAAAAATTGTTTATATTGTGTAAACCAACCACAATTTTGGGCATACCAAATTAACAGGTCTCATTATATATTCACTGTATAGTTAAAACAAATCAGGTGGCAGTAAACCTCCTTGTCGTAGCCCGTCTTTATGCTTTGAAATGTACCTAAACAGTTTTTAATTCTCATAGCTGCTGTTTGCTGCCAATACATATTCTTAATTATTCGTAAATCTTTTCCATCAATGTTCGGTTTTGATTACCTCTTTATGTTTCACACACTCAAATGCTTTTGTATAGTCTATGAAACAGAAGTACAAATCAGTCTTTACTTCTATGGCTCTCCCAATGACTACAGTATTCATTTTAAACAGTACTGAAACTCACGTATAAAGAAATATAAATAAAAGGTTGAAGTTGATACACTATTAGCTTATGTGAATGGTCATTTTCATGGAAGTGAACTGAAATGCCAAAAAGGGCTGAATGCTCTCAAGATTGTTGCAGCAATGGACATGGAACAAAGAATGCTGTTCACAATGTTCCAGCATGTGATCTTGTTAATTGATTTTGAACCTAGAATGCTTACCATATCAAAGAGTCAGCTGATGAAACTTGAGTGCATACAGGAGGAAGCCATGCGGGTAATTCTGGGATGTACAAGAGACACCCCAGTAGTATGTATGCGATACATACTTGCACTGCCTATTTATTCAGGCAGGCTCAAAGTTCTGGGGTAAAACATAGTTATATTAGGGAACCGGATGCCTACAAAGTAACTTACAATCCAATGTTGGCAGAATCGGAAATTAAAGATTGGATTATTTCCTCTAATCAAATGAACTAATGCTTTGCGGTGTTTACAGATGGCAGAAGATTGGTGAAGAACGTAAAAAAAAAAATTTTTTTTTTTTGTTATCTCTGAGAAGAACAATATGTTGCATGAAGTGGAAATCTCCTTTTCTAAACTTCAAAGTTATTGGGGACATTTTAAAGACATTGAATCGATAAAACTATCTGAGGAGATTACATGCACCTACACGGAGGCGGGGAGCGATCAGCACGAATATGAGCATAGGACATACATAGGAGATTTCCTTGAGCAGGAAAGTGCATGAGGCATGAGAACATGGTAGGACCGAATGTCTTGCATGTGGGCTGTAATGGGAGGGCATTCTGTAAAGGACCTGCCATATGATGATGATGATAACCCTTAGAGTGCGGCTCTGTGAAAAATCGCACTTCAAATACACCACATGGTGTGAAAACGGGACGTTTACTTTACAGTAGAGGACGCTGTGTGTTTACATGTGGAGGTGTGCAAACCCAGCGGGAGGGTACACATTACATTATTCAAGACATGCGGATACAGTTCAGTGATTTTACATACAAACATTAAACTTGTATGGCACCCACCAGAACATTATATTAAATAAAGAGGGTCCGGATGTATTTAGGTCAGTGGGTAATAAGCATTCACACCAAGTTGTGTCGGCTGTTTTAACTGTAGGTAACAAACAGGTTTACTATTGGCGGTGAATACACAAATTCCGTCTGGTTAAATTAAAGCACATAGCAATTGCATATCTTACAGGGATACTGTTGTTTCTTTTTCTTCTTCTCCTCCTTCTCCCCACCTCATAGCATCGACTTTGTGGACACAACTTTTAATTCCACGTGCTTGAAACATAGAAAAAAATTGAGCGAAATGTGGGAGGATTAGGGACAAACCCTATGGATGGCCGAATGTGGGAGGATTAGTGACAAACCCTATGGATGGCCGAAAGTAGGAGGATTAGTGACAAACCCTATGGATGGCCGAATGTGGGAGGATTAGTGACAAACCCTATGGATGGCCGAAAGTAGGAGGATTAGTGACAAACCCTATGGATGGCCGAATGTGGGAGGATTAGTGACAAACCCTATGGATGGCCGAATGTGGGAGGATTAGTGACAAACCCTATGGATGGCCGAAAGTAGGAGGATTAGTGACAAACCCTATGGATGGCCGAATGTGGGAGGATTAGTGACAAACCCTATGGATGGCCGATTGTGGGAGGATTAGTGACAAACCCTATGGATGGCCGAATGTGGTAGGATTAGTGACAAACCCTATGGATGGCCGAAACATTTGCCGTTGAAAACATAGTGACAGAAACTGGACCCAAACCCCCAATCTTTATAACCTATTGGCTAACGGCGTAACCACTTTGCCATACTGACCGCCATCTTTCCTACCTTTCTCTATCTGAAAGTTCTTAATCATGGTATGCGTCACGGCTACACATCTGACCTCGACCTTTCAGTCCTTGTTGGTAGATTTATATGTTGTATCCATCACACCTAATGTGCCAACACCTGCAATATTGCCATCCCATTGGGTCATGGCGCTCTAAGACACCTTTCATAGGCAACATATGCTACTACACCACTCTATGTACCTAACCAGTGTACTAATGAAATCAAGTATTTTGCAATGCTTTTAATAGCTGCGTTCGGTTTAAAATCTCACTGGAGCGTAGCTGAACAATAATACATGAAAGGTTTCGCATTTCAAGGCAGACGATAGTATGAATCCAAAATTAAACTGAATACCTGACTGAATATTGTCAAACCCAACAGGAACATTCGTATAGCCTGTAGAGTTCGTCTGTAGCCCTGACCTTTGATGATTTCAACGAGCGTAAACAGCCACCGAGTCAGAACTGGTTTAACATCATCATGTGCTCTGTCGATAAGAGGGGTATACAGACGTGGTTTGTCATCTCACAGAATCACAAGAGTCCTGGGTCATGTCTGTATTCTTGCCCCGATTATGCCATGGGGTTCAAAGATCCGGGAAATGATCTCTTTACTGTCCTCTTGCTTGTTGCCCGCCACTTATGTATCGACTATTGATGGCCCCAACTCACGTCATTGTCTTGTCAGAGCGTTAAAGAATAGAAGTGCTTGGGTTTTCACGGCAGGAACTTACTGAAAAGTTATCAAAGAAGACAGTGGAGCCTTTGTTTCTACCACCTGCATCATGACAATAGAGTTCATGTCATCCCAGAATTGTGACAAAGGCCCTAGAAAGACCGAAAACTCATTCCTTTTACGCCCTCCGGGGGCCGCGTTAGTGCAGTCGATAGGAGGCTCGCTTTCAAATCCAGCTGCCACTCGCTGCAGCCCACGGTCAGTGTTCGAAACCGGGCTGCTTCCGGGGTTCACCCAGCCTCTAGGAAATGGGTACCAGATTTGACACTCTGGAGTTACGTGCGAACGGCGACACAGACGGACAATTCTTATCAGCTGTCCGTACTGGTGGTAGAGCACTTATGGTTTATAACCGTGTGCAATGACACTGGTTCACATCTCTCGACTTTACCTTTACCTTTTACCTTTGCTCTCCGTTACAGCTCTTTCCCAGCCATTGCGTGGTTTCATAACCTATTTCGCTTTCTGAGACAAGATGCTGTTTACCAGTCAATTCTCCTCGATGTTTATTTAGATCTGATAAAATCTCAGTACCGTAAAACCTCGTTAAAGTGAACGCGCTTAAGAAACACACTCGTTAACATAAATACTGTTGATTCTGGCCTGGATGTATTTTTCACCATCCATCTATTTAAACAATCGCTTGGAATTTGTATTAACGAGGTTTTAGGTCATCGTCTAAAAAGGATAATTTCTTAACTTAAGACACTCAGAAGCAGAAACAATGTAATCAAATGCATCGACTGGTTTGAAATGCAAACGCAACACAGATCATACTTTTGTGTAAGATACGGAACACAGAAGGAGATGACAAATTATTTTAAAATAACGTAGGTTTATAGTGCTACCATACATTTCGGTGCAATTACTACTCTTAAACTAAAGTGTATATTGATCGTTTTGAAAAATTAAATAACATATATATATATGTTCACTTTTAAAAGATTTTTTTTTTTAATTTGGGCCCCAGGCCTGCAGCGAAATCGCGTATTTGTATGCATGCGCAAAAAGATTTATGTTATCCGTCTAATCGGGAACCCACACAGACATGGTCCGGCCGGTGACTGTTAATCGAAGTTTGACTGTATTTCTTTTCTTCAGTTGACGTACCACCATCGCCACAATTATCGTCATTTTCGCTCTCATCCACTCGCTCATCGCAACGTTTGAAAGAATGCGTGCGCAACTAACATCGACGAACTAGTAACTGGCAGCTTTTACACATTACAGTTTTGCTGTTAATGATTGGCGTACACATACAGCCAGCGTTCTTTTCACTAAAGGCCGCCGGACCGTTCTCTTCTTCTCGGGCACCCTCATACTCTTGTATCACATTTTCGTAGTCGTTAGTCGTGATTCGTTAGTCGTTAATCATTAGTTGTGACTCGTTAGTCACTTGTCTTTAATTGTAAGTCGTTAGCTGTTAGCCGTTAGTTGCGAGTTGCGATTCGTTAGTCGTTAGTTGTGATCTGTTAGTCGTTATCATTAGTTGTTAATCATTAGTTGTGACTCGTTAGTGGTTGGTCTTTAGTTGTTAGTCGTTAGCTGTTCATTGTTATTCGTTAGTTGTGAATCGTTATTCTTTAGTGGTTAGTCGTAATTCGTTAATTGTTAGTTGTTAGCAGTTCGTCGTTAGTTGTAATAGATAGTCGTTAGTTGTTAGTCGCTAGCTGTACTTCGTTAGTCGTTAGTTAGTTGGTTAGTTAGTTAGTTAGTTAGTTAGTTAGTTAGTTAGTTAGTTAGTTAGTTAGTTAGTTAGTTAGTTAGTTAGTTAGTTAGTTAGTTAGTTAGTTAGTTAGTTAGATGGGTTATCATCATTGCACTCCTGACATGTCCATAGGTGCTCAGATCCTCCCCTCAGTATGAACCCCAACTTCCGATGGCGAATAGTACCAGTTCTATGTTGATTTTAACAAGTCTTCTGGTGTGTCTGGTGTGCGTCTCGTTTTTTGCTATGCCGATCTCAATTTCCAAGTCTGCCATTCGGGCGAGTGATGTGGATTCACTGCCCTCAAAGTCCTCTATCCTTCCCATTTCTCTGAGGGCATTAATAATATCAGCATGATCCACAGGCTGACCGTCGGTAGTGATAGCGGATCCAGCCAACCTATCAGCTCTTTCATTTCCATCGACGCCTGCGTTAGTTGTTAGTGGTTTGTTGCGACTCGTTAATCGTTAGCTGTTTGTTGTTTGTCGCTGGTCGTTAGTTGTGATTCGCTACTCGTTAGCTGTTAGTCATCAGTCGTTAGTTGTGATTTATTATTGGAGGTTCAAACATCGCTGCAGACCGGTTGCGCCATAACTGCCCAGCGCCTGTACCAGTGGAAATAACACACAACGTTCTCTGTTGTCGCATGTTAAAACGAGTGGAAAATACGCTACTCGTAGCTAAATCTTTAAGAACCCCCTCCTCCCCCACCCCCACTTTAGCATGTCCAGTGGCTAATAATGCCCGTCCTATGATGGCTTACAAGGCCTACTTACGTCCGGTGTGCCTCTCGTGCTTGTCTTTATTCGTGATTCTCGCCTTATGAGCTGTAATGTGGACACGCTGCTCAAAACTTTCCCCGATCTTCCTATCTCTCTAATGGCATTAACAATGTCGGCCAATTCACAGGCTGGCCATCTGCAACTAAGGCGGAAGCGGCTAATCTTTCAGCTCTTTCTTTGCCGAATGTTAATGAGAGTGGCCAAAGGAGATAGACTGGATTCCTTTCATAATATCGACAATATTTTATTGACTAGAACGGAATGGGGGTATAAACTGAAAGCTCAATGTGACATATAGACAACACTTCAGGATGATGATGAAAGTGATGATGATGATGATGACAACGGTGATGACAGTGATGATGATGGTGATGATAATAATAATGATGATGAATATGATGATGCTGATGATTCTTCCACAACCTGTCATACAGTAGACCCGATATTCGCCTTCTGATTTCTTAGATCAAGTAAATAAAACCATAAAACCCAACATGCCAAAATATGCACTAAACGGGTTGTCCTTTTAAAAATGTATTATCTGAATGGCCTACCCTCAATGTGCTTTATGTTTTTTTTTTTTTTACATCTCAAGTTAAACGAATGCACAATGAAGACAATATGGCACACCGTGTGTGCATCGTCAAATCTACTTGCGTTACTTTCCGCTTTAAGAAACACGCTGGTCTGTAAAGTGCTTCTTTTCACTGCTGGGTCAGAAGTAATAGTCCCGCGTTAAAAATTTTTTATTTTATTGTACAACGCATTTATGAATACTGGATTAGAATTTGCATAAGTACAGGTAACTTTCCATTAGGAATAAAGGAAGCTCTTAGGATATTACTTGTTTATTCAGTCTTGACGAAAACAACAACATCCTGACAAAGGCGTAAGGATATCCGTGGAATGATGACGTCTCGTGAAGACTGATAGCTGTAGGCCTGGTAATGGACACGGGGTAGGTGGAGTAAAAGAGAGGACGAAGGAAAGAAAAAGTAAGAGGGGAGAGGTGGGGAGCATTGGAGGACAAAGGAGAGATGGAAGATGGAAATGGATGGAGAAAAAGTGACGGGTGGGAGAGAAATAAAGATCAAGTGAGATGTGGGAGAAAGGGAGATCGTTGTAACTCTAGACATGGCAGTTTAGGGGGTGATAGACAGCGAAGACACAGTGTGCTCGGTTGCTTGGTACGCTGAGAGATCTGAAGGTTTCTGCAATCCATCGACTTCTAGGTGTGCTCCAGCGTCTTGGTGCTTTCATGTCCACGCTGTCTGCTCTCGCTGCAGGCATCGTTGGGTTCAGTCTGAAAAGGTGGCTAAACAATTTCCGGCTTTCTTTCACGATACATTTCTTTTTCTTAAAGTCCATGCCAAGTGGCGTTGCAAGTCTATCAACAACTTTCTTCTCGTCTACTTTCAGTCAGGTCTGATCAGATGATCCTCCATGCCGTGTGGCGATGCAAGTCTATCTACAACTTTCTTCTCGTCTACTTTCAGTCAGGTCTGATCAGATGATCCTCCATGCCATGACGTCAAACTGTCCAGCATATTCTCTCTCTGCTTCCCTCTGCCTTTCTTCCCCTCCAACTTTCCCACTGTCACGCTGCACTTCAGGTTTCTCCTCCCCATCACATGACCAAACAATGTCGCATTCTGATGTGGGTTATCAATAAATTTAATAGGTATTTAATTGTAGGTGTATGGTCAGTGTGCTCGCTGCCAAGGCCAGTGTGCTCGCTGCCAAGGCCAGTGTGCTCGCTGCCA